GCTCTCAGTCAAGTCTTCTATATTTTAGTTAAAGGCCTCACCATCCATTTAGTTGCTTAAGACAACTTAGACTTTTCCTTATTCCTCTCTCTTCTGCACTCCTCACATCTAGTTCATAAACAAGGCCTGTTGGCTTTGTCTCCAGCACACACCCTGGATCTGCGGTGCATCAACCATCACCATCACCGTTGGGGTTCCCTGTTTCCATCCTTGCACCTCTATAATCCATGTTTGGCATGGCCTCCCACCCTAATTGTGCTGTATCTGGTCCCACTCTCTTTATCTGGTCCCACTCTCTTTCTCCCCCTCTATTACTTTTCTCTAGCCCAACTAGCCTTCTCTTTTCCCCTTGTAATTGCTAAGCCTACTGCTACCTCAGGGCCTTTGTACTTGTATCTTCTGCATGAAACATGCTTCTTCCTGATCTTCGCATCTCATCAGCCCAAACCTGGCCTCCCTGACTACCATCTCTAAAGTATTCTCTCTCCCCCATGATTCTGTATTTCATTTCTGGGTCCAGATTCTGTATCTGCCATTTATTAGCTGTGTGACCTTGACAGAATATCCCAATTTCCTCATCTATCAAAGTGAGCTAATAGTACCTATCACGTGGGATTGGTGTGGTTGATGTAGGGACTTGGCAAGGTTAGTCTAGTAAGCTGTTGGGAAAGGCTAGCTGTTTTCTTTTCACCATACCACACTGTCCTAACTGGATAGTGGAGACTTAAGGATAATGTACCAGGTTTGATTGGTTTCCCTACTGACAACTGACTTCCTGTTGAATAGTGATGGTTGGGATGTTGAGAATACAATAGTGAACACAATTTGGCAAGAGACAAGTCCTGCTACTGTCATGGCATACAATTCTACGGGACAGAGTGAAAGGAATGTCTGGAAAAAGGAATATGGCAAGACGAAAAAGAGTAGTAAAATTAGTGACAGGAGTCAGAATGGGTGACTAGTTTACCAAGCAGCCGAAAATCAGAAATGAGAAGAAATAGCATAGCAGGCTGTGATGAGATGACAGAAAACAAAGAGTATAGGCATAAATAACCCCCACAAAACCCAAACTCGCTGCTGTTGAGTCAATTCCAACTCATAGCAACTCCATAGGACAGAGTAGAACTGCCCCATAGGATTTCCAAGGAGCAGCTGTTGGATTCGAACTGCCGACCTTTTGGTTATCAGCCGAACGCTTAACCTCCAAAATTCAGTAACACCTGAGAGCATTACTCTGCCACACTGAAGGTAGAGTAACTAAGGAAACTTGCAGTCTGTGGGGAGAATTCAGTAGCGGTAGACATAGTAAAATTACTGTAATAGTAATAGGAATGATGATAATATTTGAACTGATTACAGGCCAAGTATTTCTCTAAGTGCTTTAATTATCACAGCAGTGCTGTAAGTAGGTACTCTTATTATTCCCATTTTATGGAAGAGCAATCATAGGCACAGAGTGCTTTAGTTACTTTCCCAGAGTCATACAGCCAGTGTATGGAAGAGCCTAGATCTAAAGCCATACGTTCCAGACAACTACTACCCATGTACCTGATCACTACAGCTAAGCCTGTTCACCCCAGTTCTTCTTTTAGAGTATAACATAAAGGAGACACTCTGCTTGAAGCCATGTCAAGTTATTGTTGGGAGAATTGTTAGCACCATGACAAGCTAAACCATATCGTGATGGAATAAGGTATCATGTCCAGCAAGTGCCCAAAAGTAGCACAACAGCTCAGTATATCATAAAAGTTCATCTTAGAAGAAAAAAAGGACATCTTTGCATAACTTAAGAACGAAACGAGCTTTTGAGCTTTTGGACGCCCAGTATAATATAGGTAAATCTGTGACCTAGCACACCGTTTAGATCGGTGGCTAGCTGTTCTTTATTATAGAACATTTGCATAGTCATTTAAGTTGTTACATGAAGTTTTGTCAGTTCTCAATGAAAGGTCATAGGGTGCCCTTTTCTCTGACTCAGTGATAATTGAAGAGGCAAGTATGTTACTAATGATTAACTCATTTATTCATTAATTCATTAAATGTTTATTGAGCTCTTCCTATGGCTAGACAGGGTTCTAGGTGCTGGGAGTACAATAGTGGACAAAGTATATGAAGTCCCTGTGCTTCAGGAGTTCACATTCTAATGAGAGGAGACCTGGCCCTCCTTCAGATGCACTAGTGCTTGGCCAGAGTGAGAAATTAGCAGAGGAGTGGACAGCAGCAGTGTCTGCAGTGGCCTGAGCAGGGTGGGCACATCCCCCTCC